GAGAGTAAGAGAGAAAGAGAGAGAGAGGAAGAGTTATGCACAGTAATTGTTGACAGTGTACTAGTAAGAATGTACAGTATTTGGAGTCAGTTTGTTTAGTCGGTAGTACAATTATAAATAGTATTCTCTGTCAAGTTATGAATGTGACATATTGTGTTAGTGAGAGAGAGAAAGAGAGGAAAAGGAAAGAGAGAGGGAGAGATCTTGTTGTAATTTGTGCGTGCAAAATAACAAGGAAATTTAGAAAGGAAACTACAAGATAGAAGTGGAGGACACATTACAGTATAATTTGTCATAGATACATGTCTAAAGCTGATGATTCGTGTTAACACAATGACTTTATGCAGAACGAAAGCACTTTCACATTACAGTTTATTACTAACTAGATAAGAGTATAAAATATTATAGTATATTAGCATTGAATTATACATATCTTGATATCACTTGATAAACCTCAACCACAATTCAATTACTAATTATAAACTAGACTGATTACTACTGCAATACATGTCAATATATATACACACACATTTATAGCCACTCACTCTTCTGCCTCATAGCTCTCAATTGGTGCAACATAGTTACGTGGGATGTACCCCTCGCTACCGGTAGCCAGTGACCGTGCCATCCACCAGTCGCCCTCCAGTGGTCCAATGACCACTAGCCTCTCTCCTTTCTGAAACGAGAGATCCTCTGCTGTTCTTGCCATGTACTTGAAGCGGGCAATGAATTTAGGACCTGATGAAGCGACGGACGAAGTGTTTTGATTGTTGTTACCAGAGAGAGACACTGTTGGCTAAAACAGAAAGGAAAATGATAATAATACATTGCTTTTCTCCCCTCTCATTATCTAAATATGCAATACACGTACATGCAGGTTTACTATTATTATTATTATATAATTTCTATTTCCTTTCTCATGCTTACAGTTAGCTTTCATATATACATACTTTCAGCCTAAACTGTCTGATCATTTGGTACAAATTGATACAGTATAGCTTTGAAATGGGGCCCATAATTAATGATACGAATACAAACACACGAACTCATCATACGCATAATGATACGACATTGACAAAATATTCAACCTTTTAATTAAGTTTACCTGCGGATTAGGATGATATCTGGCATCAACTCCACTTCCTACTATTCCTCCTGTTCCTCCTCCTCCTCCCCCTACATTATTACCATCAGTTGTATTCTTGTTTGTAGTATTCTCGTCATTGGTAGCTTTACTGGCACAGCAACCCATCCTCTATATATGTACTTCTCTCCTTGTGCTATTAGGCCACACAGATATGAGCTTGGAGATATAGAAGAGCCACACAGAAAGTGAGAGTGTACCGGTTGGTTTATATTTGGTAAGTATAACAGTCCTGTTGTAATACCTGAAGGAATGTAGTATGGGTCATTAGTCATGCAACATTCTTGTCCACTCCCACTAAGGCACACACATTATCCATTCACATTTTCATGTATAATATACATATACACAGAAATTAATGATTATTTGCATGTTGTTATAGAGAAAGTAGTAGTTAATATAGCAAGGCTGCAAAAGTCGTGGCAGCCATTTTGTTTGCTGGTGAATCCTACTTAGTAACTTTAATGCACACGATTGTTACTGTGCGTAGTAATGTAAAGAAAAGGATCAAGTAACATGTTGTAAAAGCCTTCCTATTCCCCTGGCAACCTACTCCATTATCAAAGCAACGCCACTGGTTGTACAGGGAATGCTCCTTAAATACATGTATGTACATACGTACATTGTAAGCTGTTTTTAGTTTGAGATTCACATTGCAATAATGAATAGACCAAATTATTGTATGACTATTTTTTCTTTTCTATTTCAATCTATTCACTACTTATAACAATGATTGAAAAAGAATGCCTGCAGTTACTTTTCAAATACTATTTGAGAAGTGCAATGTGGCATGAAAAAACTCCCCAGCTAATGACACGTAAATACAATCAATATTGCAATGAATTAGGATAACTTAGGAGTGACAGCCAGACCCAAATTCCTAAGATTCATGTATACAACTCTGTTTATAATTATTAGTATTACTGATAGTGTTTTGAATATGCGATCCACTACGTGTCAATATTGTTAATAAGAACTAAAAGCTAAGTATCGTTTTCGTTGATATGACTGTAATTGGAATAAAATGAAATTTGAATAGTTTAATGAGCATACTAACAGCTGATTGTGTTGTGTACATAGTCTCTCTCTCTCTCTCTCTCCTTATTGCTTCATACGCACAAAGTTCTCAAGCACAAAATGATAAACATTCACTACCTCCTTGTGAAGCATTACAGTTGACTGACACATTCATTAGGTGAACAAATGTACACTTTAATAAATATGTGCTATAATAAGGACTCATTATAAAACACTACAATGAGGTCTTGCAGTATTCTAACGATGTAAGTTTTGTATTTGAGATTTAGATTATATTAAAAATTTTGGGCAATATTTGAATAATATATCAAATAAACAAACGAAGCTCACAGTGTATACATGTATTTGGAATATTCCAATAATCACCGGCAACAACAACAAAAACACATTTTACGTTGCCAGGCATAAAAATACAATTACTTGCAACGTCATTATTGTGCATACATGTAATCAAACATTTTTTTAAATGCAGCATTAACAAGAAGCATTTATAGAATCTATAGTGTGCTGACATCTACTAATTAGATGTTGTATAACACTTGAATACAAACTATGTACACTTTTTTGAGAGGTTCCTAGACTTAATGGACAAGTACATGTATATGCACTACCGTATAGCGCTTCAATTTTGCGGAGCTAAAATTTCGCGGATTGACAAAAATCAATTTTTCGCGGAAATAATTTTTGCGGATTCGCAATGTTAGTGCCACACCTTTAATGGCAATTGAAATTTTAGTGGATCTTTAATTTCGCGGTTTCATGCTAACCGCAAAAATAGCGAAAGTTTAGCTCCTCGAAAATAAAGCACTATACAGTATATACACATGTAGTGCTTGTCTGACACTTTTGTGGTTCTAATACAACAGCTAAATGAATGGGGCATGCTTATCCAATGCTTAGATGAAAGAATGAGTCTATTTCATTGGTTATCTGCCTTCAAAACATTCATTCATCTTTTCTTTCAAAACAACCATTTTAAATTGCCAACATAAACAAGATTAGAATTTGGGAGAGCATAGGAGAGATAGGAGGCAAAAAATTAGGAGAAGAGAATATTTGCTAGTATACATTTAATAGTCAAGAGTATTAGGAGAATTTACTGAATGTACAGGATTCCTTTAATGGAGGATATGATAAGGATATGGTGAGGAGTGGATACAGCAAAAAGGAAAAAGTTGTAAGAAGATAAACAGCAGCAAAAACAAACAGAGGTACCACAAACCACAATAGACATAAAATAAACCTACCACAATTATATTACTGGTGCGACCAACACTGCACTGTAGGATAGAATAGAGGCTCCTTTGATGAACGCACACTAGTGGATATAGAGGAGTAGGTTAATGAGAGATGGGGGTACTGCAGTAGAAAGACAGAGCCAGAGGTCAGAGAGGGAGAGAAGATACGTGCTACTGCAGAGATAGTGTAGGGCAGTACGAGCAGGAAACTATCATCCCACACACTGAAGAATGCAACACGTTATAGAGGAGAGAGGGAGAGAGAAAAGGAGGAGATTTGAGCAACAAACCGGATCCCCATTGCAGCAATAGGGTGTGGCTCGTAGTAGGCGTGGCTCTGTTCAGCCCCGCCTATAACTATCATGGCTGTGTAATTATGATCATACATGTCATCAAAAATTTGTTTTCTGAAAATTCTCAATTTGAAAACAGTTCAGGTGGAGAGGAAAGCATTGGAGGAGGATTTGATTTAGATCTAACTCTGGACATGATCTTGCTTGTTGCTTTTGTTCTCTTGTACCTGCTTCTGGCAATCCTGTATCTTTGGGTCGGTGTGAATCATGACAAAATTCAAATTAAATTGACATTAAAGTGTCTACCATTGATCTCATTAATACTGTGGTATACAATACAGTGGAGTATAGGGGTCGGGCTGTGTGAGGAGGCAGTTAGAGGAACAAGAGGCGAAAGTAAGTAACAGTTGTATATCTATGATAGATAGATCTAGTACTTTCATAATCTTATGCAAAATTTCCACATTTGATATTTTGGGCATGTGCTGTATATTCCTAATTTTTAATACCCCTGACTTTAATAGTGTACGGTTGGTAATTTTTGTGGAGTATTAATTTCGTTAATTTCACGGTTCATTTTTATCCATGAAATTTTAATCCCAATCACCTACACATGAAAACTAATTAACGGGCCATGCAGAACCAGTGCAGAGCTCTAACTACTATTTCCAAGCCAGTGAGGGAGCCAGAGTCTTTGTCTATTGCTCCATGCTCCACTATAAGCCATGCATTGGAAGCTAGTGCTGTAGATCCAAGTGAAAAGAAGTTTGTTATCTGCCAGCTACGAATATTTGTACCCACGAATATTAGCTTTTAAGGAAATTTTGGAGAAAACACGAAATATCGGACTCTTGAAAATTACCAATCATACAGTGCTTTGTGAGATTAATGTTATGAAATTTATTCTCCACCTAATTCATATTTTATCTTGAAAGCTTCAAAAATTGCATTAAAATTTAATGGTTGTATTTCTTCTATCCTCCCTCTCACTCTCTCCCACTCTCCACAGGTTGGTATTTTTACCTCACACTCTTTGCTCTCATAGCATCAGTAATAGGTGATGCACTACTCAACATTCGTGTCGTCTCTCCACTGGGTATTATATCATTTGGCATAGCCCAAATACTGTTTTCAATCATATTCGGAGCACAAGGTTTTCCTGGTTCAACATGGCTGGAGGTGATCCTTCTCCTATTGCTTGTAGCTGGGATTTGTTTGGGAATTTTTCTTGCCATACGCCAAAAACTTAATGCCCTATTCAAGGAGCATTTTAATATTGGGATACTTGTCATTGTTGGGTTTTATTTCTCAATGATAGCCACCATGCTGTGGACTGCTCTACTTCTTCATGTTACTGTGGGCACTCTTCAATCTTTCTTTGGTTTGGTTGGTGGCGCTTTATTCTTCATCTCTGATCTTTGTATCTTGCTCTCTGGGATCTATTCCTCTCATTGGTTCTTTAAGAATAGGATTAGCGTCATGACGACATATTATATAGCTCAGTTTTTTATTTCTATATCAGTTTTATTGTTGTGTTCAGATTTTTAATCTCAATTATCTCATACGTAGATCTCTATGATCATTTGCATATTTTTTTAGAAATTAATTTAATAGTGATAATAACTTTTGAAATCTTCCATTGCTATCACTAAAAGCCAAGTATTGTAATTTTAACAAGTGCTGTGTAATTCCCGGCAGATTACGCGGGTTGATCCAGCAATCCCCGCCTCCTTGTGGTTACTATGGCGACAGCAATGAAAACAAAATGGCGGATGATAAGGTAAGACGGTGGAGAATTGCTTCAGCATTTTGAGGAATGCTGACACGTGTGCATTGAACGAGCGATGGAAGAAGGCAAAAGAAAAGATAAGGTCTCTCATGAGAGAGGAAAAATCACTCAAACTTTTGGAGAAATTACTTTTAATTCAAACTTTGACTCTGGTAAAGTGATAGCACATTTTGATCTTATTTTGTACATTTATATACATATTTTATGTAAAATTATTTGTTCTGCCTGTTCTCCTTCAAAAATTGATATTACATGTATATGTATATATACATGTACATGTTTATGTCTTTACTGTCTTTTTTTTGGTTCACAGGTAATCTTGACCGAATTGAGATAGTTGTGACTCCGCCCGATGGCCATAAGCTCAACGAGTTCAATTTGTGGACAGCACCAGATTGTGCTGGTACCAGATATGAGAACGGGAACAGATCCTGGTTCTATTTCAGTTTAGCTACTGGTCCTAATTACAATGGGAAAACAATCAAGTGAGTGGGTGGTTATAAAAATATGCATTTTTACATTTTCGAGTAACTTAAATATTTTAAAATCAATTTTTGATCAGAAGATATAAAAAATGTATGTGTACCAGAAAAAAATTATAAAAACAGCCAGAAGTCTTGGAGTCATTATTTGAGAAAATACCATGTATAGGGTACTTTCTCAAATTTTAGAACAAATTTAAAAATTCACAAAAAATAAAATTTTGATTGGAACTTGCTCTATGCTCAAACTTTCTACACAAGTCTGGCCTATAATTGCAGCTATTAGAAGCTACTTGTATATGTATATGTACTGTATATTCACATACATGTAAATTATTTGTTTTATATTTTGTTAGAATGACAATTAAGAATCTCAATAAGCAATCAAGGCTTTATCAGCAGGGGCTTACCCCTCTTATCAAGATTCTACCTAGCAAAGGATGGGAGAGAATGAGAGACAGACCAGAATGGCAGGTATAATAACTACATGTAAAATAATAATAATAATGATAATAATAATAATTAATAAACACGAGTGCCAAGAACAAAGTTTATTTGTTATAAACAGATGTGTTCCAATTAATGTAATTGTGTGATTTATGAAATAATAATAATAATAATAATAATAATAATAATAATAATAACAGTAATAATAAGCATTAATTGATGATGATAATGATTATAGTGCAAGCATGTGCTAGATAAGCCTTACTAGTTACTACTCTATCATTTACATGTACATGTACATGTATTTGTTAAAATTTCATGTACATGTATACATGTATGTACATTGCATATCTTATCATTATGTAGGTTGTCGACAATTGCATGGAGCTGTCATTCACATACACTCCACCAGAAGGAAGGAAGATGACAACTTACTTCTCATTCTGCTATCCTTTCTCTTACATCGACTCACAGAAACACCTCTTCAAAATAGAGCAGAAAGTATCACGAATGCTAAATGCCTCCTCTCCCCCTCCCTCTCCCCCTCTCTCCCCTTCCTCACTCGGCGAAGATGCAATTTATTATCATCGTGACCTCCTTTGCAAGTCGCTTGATGGACTCCGTGTTGATCTGCTCACTGTGTCTTCACATAAAGGCATCGCTGTGGAAACAGAGCCACGCCTCTTTGGGCTGTTTCCTGATGAGAGTCTCCCAACTGCTAGACAATTTAGAAATAAGAAAGTGAGAAAAGATCATTTATACATGTACATGTACATGTACATAGATATACGGGGGTGTACATGTATGTAACATCAAGGGAACTACTCTTGGTAACATGTACATTTACATGTACATGTACATGTAAATGTACATGTACATGTACATGTCATTCTCATAATCAAAATCAAGAGTCCTTAAATTCAATGTAATATTATTTTTAAAATAACATGATATTATTTTTAAAATAACATGATATTATTTTGTCTATCATGAAAGCTTTAATAATTATTTTCAAGCTTTTGTTTCTATTGCCTCTCTGTTTCCAGATTGTAATCATAACCAGTAGAGTCCATCCTGGTGAATCCCCAGCTAGTTATGTCTTCAACGGGTTCCTGGATTTTCTCTTACGACAGGACGACCCCCGGGCCCAAGCACTCCTCTCGAATTTCGTTTTCAAACTGGTTCCAATGATCAACCCTGACGGCGTATCAAGAGGTCATTATCGTACTGATTCACGTGGTGTTAATCTCAATCGTGTTTACCTTGATCCTGATCCTAATATTCATCCGTCAGTATATGCTATACGCCAGTTGATCCTATACTATAATAACAATGGTGGTGGGGGAGGGAGCTGCACTGAGTGTGAAGAGAACACTAGTGATGGAGAGAAAGTATCATCCTCACTCTCTTCATTATCCAGCCAAATCAGGTAGAGTACATGTACATGTACATGTAAATGTAAATAAACCATTATACTACTAACGTAAACCATGTAACAATGTACCATATATGTACATGTGCATAAACCATGATAATAAATAGTGCATACATGTACAACTAGCGTAAACCATGTAATACCATACATGTACATGTACATTTTCAATTCATGCACAATACACGCTGTTCGTATACATGTACATGTACATGTACAAATGTACTGTAGATATGGCATGTACAGTTTTGCCAATTTGTACATGTATTTTTTAATGCTTTAAAACAATTGCATTGTAAAATTTAAAAACTGCAAAAGCCGTACAATTTTTTACCTACACGTATTTAATGGTATTAAAAATAATAAAAAATAAGTAAGTAACCCAAATACCACCTTAACCATAATGTTCATTATTCTCTAGTTCCACCATCCCTTCATTCACTAGTCAAAGTGTTAGCGATGAGTCGCATCCATCAGATCAACCACACCCACCAAATGAGCCATGCCCACAAGACAAACCACACCCACCCACTAAAGACTCCTCGTCACTCAAGTCAGAGTCCCGTTCCACTCTCACCTCCAAACCTCAGGGAGGAAGTGTTGCTCTTTACGTTGACTTACATGCCCACGCAACCAAACGAGGCTGCTTCATGTACGGCAATCATTTCAAAGACCCGAGTGACCAGTCGGAGTGCATGTTGCTTCCAAAACTCGTGTCCCTAAACTCGGCTCATTTTGATTTCGAGCACTGCCTGTTCTCCGAGAGGAACATGTATGCTGCCGACAGGAGGAACGAAGGAGGTGGGACGACCAAAGAAGGAAGTGGGCGTGTCGCTCTTTATAAAGCAACCGGCCTAATACAATGGTAAATACACGTACATGTATGTATATGCATGTACAGTACATGCACTTAAATGTTTTTGTTTTTTTTAAATTTCATGAAGATAATATTGTCACATATACACGTACATGAGTTAAAAATTGACAAGTAAATGTATTACATTGTACAAATGTATAATAGAACAGAATGTAGTATACAGTATTTGGTACAGTATACAGATTACATGTACCTTTATAATAATAATTATTATTATTACATGTATATGTACTTATTATTTTTTGTAGTTATACGTTAGAATGTAATTACAACAGTGGGCGTATAGTGAACCAGTTGACTCCTGCTCCTATGGACACTGGTAGAGCCACTCCTCCCAGTGAAGGATCACTCATACCACACAAACTGACATCAAAGGACTTTGAAGAGGTACAGTACATGTACATGTACTGTACAGGCACTAGATGACATTTTGTATTATTTTTAAATAAGCGTAAACTAAATAAATTTGCATGTACCAGTAATCTACATGTACATGTATGTACATGTATGCATTGATGAAAATAATTGGATTTATACATGTACATGTATTTTTAGATGATCAATTTTGTAGTCAAAAATTGATTGACACACTCCTACATGTGCATGTAAATGTTTAGTATACATAGCACAAAGACATCAAAAAATTAAGTTGAGTTGACATGTACATGTACTTTTTGGGAAAAAAAGCATGTATAGTATAGTATAGTACATGTATAGTACTTTCTTGTAGTACTTATCAGGGGCCTAGGCAGGATTTTTGGAAAGAGGGGGCAAGCAATGCCGCACGCAAAGCGCGCCGTGAAATTTTGCGGAACCACGCCCTTTTAGGGCATGGTGACACCTATTTTTCAATATGGCGGACTTTAAGAAAGATCATAGGCAACGTTAAATACCTTTTCAGCTTTATAATGGCATCATAGAAGGACTGATTTAGCCTTTTCCTTTCATATGTAAGTTGTAGAACAGCTTTTCCTTCCAAAAGTAGCTTATTATTACGTTAATTTTAAATTTTGATTTTAAAAAAGGGGGGCATTTGCCCCCCTTGCCCCCCCTGGCTACGCCCCTGCTTATACTCTCTCTCTCTTTTGTCTACAGGTTGGTAGAGGATTAGCCATTGGTCTATTGGACCTGTACCAGCTCAACCCTTGGAGCAGAATACCTACCAGTGAACACTCAACACTAGCTGGGATTAGGAACTACCTTCATCAAAAGATACTCAATGATAGAAGGAAAGGAGGAGGAGATACTAGCAGCTTTAAAAGATACAATAATAGAATTGATAGGAAGTATGTGTTGTACTTGCATAGCAATACACAACGTACAGTATTAATTGTTGTTGTATTTCACTACATGTACAAGCATACATACACATGTATGCGACATATAATTATTTAAAATGTACATGTACATATACATTTTCATGTACAATATACATGTACACATGTATGCAGGGCCCACAAATCATGTTACATGTAATTGAGTTAAAAAAGGATGCGACTGGGACAAGCACTACAATAATAGACATGGCTTTTGGAATAACTTTAAAAATTCATAAAAAGTTTAATTTTGATCGGAATCAGCTAAAAAATAATTTCCATAGAGCATATGAACATGTACATGTATTAGAAAAACTATTGAAATAAAAAAATTAAAGAGTTCTCTAAAAATTTGTCAAATTTCCAAGACACTTTAAAAACCACTGAAAAGAACCTGCATGAGCACTATACCAAAAATATTATGGGAAACCCTATGTATACATGTGTGTGCATAACTACACTGTATGTGTATGTGTATTTGCAATGTCAGACATTTTTGTGGCTTCTGATTATTTGGTACAGAAAAATGAAATTTTGCTATAATTAAAATTAATAAGTACAATGTACTTTCCTTTTCAAAACTACGTAATGAATTGTTTATGCCATTTTACATGACCATACCTGTGTACAGTACATATGTGCTTAAGTGCATGTACATGTACATGTATTTAAAATGATAATTTTATTGTACATTTTAGTCGTTCGTGTACAAAAAACAATTCTTCAGAGTCTGTAGCTCCTCCCACTGCCCCTCCCCCTCCCATCCAGCCCAGTGCTATACCAGTAATAACTCTGATTAACGAAGAGGCAATAGGGAATGGGTGTGTCCTTAATTCCAGTAGCGGCACTAGAGTTGAAAGCTCGAAATATTCAGTGATGAGTAAGTATTAATCAAATGTGTGGGTGGGATGAACTACATGTACATGTACATGTAATGCAATAAACATGTACATGTATAGTGTTGTTAAATGCATTGCATATGTAGTACTGTATGTACATGTATGTTTATTATTTCTTATTTTTCTCTTATTTTTAAGTGTTGAATCGTCATTTCACTCTTCCTTCCTCAGCGAAGCTCCATCACCATGGCAACAAGGACAGCCCCCTTCTCTCTGCTAGCCTCCCCTCGAGACGTCAGCCTTTCATTTACCAAAAGCCGAGCACACCCTCCCCCATTCACCTACCCCTAGTACCCTTCACTCATAGAGTGAACCCTTACTTTCATCCACATGAAGGACTACTAATGATAGGGACATCCCCTCTTAGGACGGGGGAAGAACAGACTCAAAAAATGACCACTAAAATTACAAGTTTCCCCCAACAAGGGGGCACGCTTGATTCTCCTTTTCCAAGAGGGGGCCGGAATTTGAAGCCATCCCCCCTGAGGCCAACCGAAGTGTTTTCAATCATGGGGCGGAATTTGGGTCAGAGGCTGTACACCCGTTCGCTTGTTATTGATCGTTGCTCAGTCGATCAGCAAAACGTGGCAGAACAAGACACTGCATGTACATGTAACGGTACGTGTAACTGCGAGGATGATGCTAAAAATAACGGAATAGAGAGAGGTGTGTCAACTAATGGCAGCTCTAGTAACAGTGTTAGTAAGAACTCACTTGGAAGAAAGAAGGTGAGAGAGAGAGAGAGAGAGACAGACAGACAGACAGACAGACAGACAGAGGGAGAGACAGAGAGAGAGAGAGAGAGGAAGAGACAGACAGAGAGACAGACAGAGAGAGGGATTGTTATGATGTATGTTGTAATGGTATCGTTGCAATAATTGTTTACTATGCAAATTCTAAACATTACCATATTTGGGATGTTTAGTGTTTTAAATGCTTGGATATGCACTGCTGACATAACTTGGTTGCAACACTACATTGTAGATGTACATATACTATCGTTTAGTCCTTGGACATACATGTATATTTGTACTGCATGTATATTTGTACTACATGTACATGTACATGTACATTGTACATGTACATATACATGTAACAGTATACTACATGACTGAATGTATATGTTCTGTATAATGTATATTTAACTGTCAATTTTTCACTCAGATATATACTGTATGATGTATTATTATCAATACATTTGTAACACATGAAAATATGCATGTGACATGTACATATATGGATGTACATGTACATACTTTTCAATATAAAGATGCAATACATGTACAATGTACATACTTTAAAGTCACATGTTATTCGCATTTTCAGTGACTTTTTCTCATGCTTACTCACTCTTTCCCTGCAATATCTTCATTTCCTGTGCAAGAGGTACACAGACTACAAAACAGGAAATACTATTAGATAACCTTTGGACAGTTATTAGTTTAAGCTGCTGATGGAATTGACCCATGAGGGGATTTCTTCTCCTTTTAAAGATCATAATTACATCTCCGCTCATCATCATTTATTAATTACTTGTTATGTCAATAATGTGTTTTTTCCTTCCCAGGCTTTGTACCAATCCTTTAGCTAATTCCTCATGAATTAAACTCTCTGTACACGTAATAATTACATGTACATGTATGTACAGCTATGCCTAATCTGTCTACAAGTGGCTGGCTATAAATGTATAATATTAAATAATAGCAAGATTACATAACATGTACATGTACTCTTGAAGATAGTGTAGGGGATTTATTCCTATCAAAGTGTATGGTTAATTTTTATGGTATAAATTTATTGTTCGTGACTTTAATTTACTCTCAGCTTTATTGCATGCATTTAACCCAAGAGAACCTCCCACTGTTTCATAAAATCACTATCTTGATTCTAATCACAAATTTTGGACTACTACCGAGTGATAGCAATTAACAATTCGATCACAATTGCCTCTATCAATGGACTACATGTAGCCTTTCAATTATGAGTAGTCCATTGTAATAGTGAATTAGTACATGTGTACATGTACATGCCAACTACATCTAGCCGTATTTGTGTTGCTATAACTTCATAATGCGAGCTTGTGCATTGCATGCTTTCCTCAATACAAATACTAACTTGACACTAATTGTAGTAATTGACCAAACCCATTGAGCACTTAGCACGCATTATGTCACAACACATACATATATGCATAGATTGCCTGCTTGTGTACATCCACACACTCACCAACAAATGCTGCACTGTACAAGCAAACACATTCGCATTTATTCTATTATGACTCCAGTGGGCCTTCAATATTGTCACTGGCTGTCTATGTTTGGCAAGCTTTAGCTTGTTATTATGTTAATATTGCTATCCAGCATGTCTTTGTATGGTGTAGGGATACCTGCTTTGTGCGTGTGTGTATTGCTCTTGTAGACGTGTTGTAAACAGTTTTAGACAGTCCTTTTAAGGGTGGGAAGGTATTTTTTATTCGATTATGGCTAGATATTGCATTAGAGGGCGACAGTTTGTTGATATTAATGTATGTGCATGTGTACAGTATGTGTAATAATACCTGGAATTGAAAGGTATGCTGGTCATAATAGTGATTCCTATAATTACATATACATGCAGCGAGCTTATAAAGTCTTCTCTCATGATCGTCTTTCTTTTTTTTTCTTTCCCTCCTTCTTCCTCCTTTCATTAGACATTTACTAAAGCCTCTCCGCTAAGAACCAAGGCCTCATCTCGGAAAACTCTCACTCACCCTCTCCCCTCTTCCCGCTCCACTAAACTCACTTTACTAAAGCACACACCCACCCCTTCACTATCAACCACCAAGAGACACTTATCTTACAAATAATAATAATTTATTAATGCATGGACAAGAAATTCTATATTTTATTTTAAAGGCACTTTTATCAACCATGAGCTATTAACTATGATAATTAGCAGTAGCTTATTAATTCATTTTGAAAGTTGGCATACTCAATATGTACCAGTACAAAATGTACATGTACATTGCAGGGCATTGGTGGGGGGTTATAGTCATTCGTAGTACAAGGATATGTGTACATGTACAGTGCCTCTATTATTTGCATTACCATTCCTTTGTGTTGTTTCATTTTATGGTAGGACAAAGGTGATTTTTTACTTTGATGCATCTACATGTGTACATGTATGGAACAAATTATTGATGATTATTTATGGTAAATATATGTACAGTATGTGATTTAAGATCCTTTTTACAGTGAGTGCCCCCTGCTATTTTTCTGTATCATCTAAGGATATATTGTCAGGCGAGCTTAGTAAGGTGTTGCAGTGACAGAATCCATAAACTGTTCGTGTAGTTGTAAAGCAAGTCAGCTATTGCTCATGTCATGCATATACTCGCTAGCTCTCCTTGCAGTGTTCTAGCTCCATTTAAGTACAATTATGATAGCTCTTTGCCTCTTCATAATTATTGTCTATAACACTGCTTTTATACACAAACAACTTTGTTGCAAACAAATTTCTTTTGCTATTGTATAATCTTCTCTCCTGCCTCAAGCATATACCTGAGCCCGGCAGACACAAAGTATGAGCATGACTCCATTTCTGGAGTTGTTTGTCCTTCTAGTGATGCATTAGATGACCGATGAGATAGTTAAATAAGGGCCTAGCGTCTTGTAAAAACACACTGTTACCCTCCAAGTATGGAGCCTGTTAAATATCATGATAACATTGTTAGGTCATTAATGTTGATTTGTACTCCCTTACAAAGAGTATGGCACTAATTGTAACCAGGCAACTATTTTGTTAAGAAGACTAGTATATGAATTACAAGGCCATGTATATTGTATAGGTACTCTTGTATGCAGTGAGTCTGTACATACCTCAGTGTATCTACACTGTACAAGTAGCTTCACTGTACTACGCTGTGCTATTCTGTGTTGGTACCTTTTGCTTGCTGGTTCCCATGCATCATATACTAGTATTATGAGAAGGAGCAGCCATTGAGAATGTCAGTGATAGTGCATTACTTAATTGCGTCCATTGCAATGCATTAGTAGCATCACATGATATTATAATCAAAGGAATGGTGTTTGTGTTTTGGAATGCATCCTAATCCATTTATCAGTCTTGCTATTAGCTATACTGCTACAGTAAGCAATTTCTTTCCTTATTTTCTTTATTTTTTTTTAACTAAAACCAAATTCTGTTTCTTTTTCTCTCTATTCTCTCTCTCTCTCTCTCATTATAATTTTAAATTAATGAAGCTGTTGTGTAAGAACAAATTTCTGTTGTGCAAACTGTGTGGGTGTGATGCCCTTATATGGTAAGTGACAGACTACCTTATAAGGAAACACACACTCCTTATTAACAACAGAAGCAATCAAAAGAGTCACTCACTTCTCTCCGAACTTGCAGCGAGCAGAGCTACGGCCAGTAGTGACTGCCCGAGTGAACTCTCCACTCTCCTAAGCTTATATCCTGCAGAGACTTGCTGGGAAATATCTCTCTCTCCTTTAAAAAAGCAATCCTTGATCTTATCTCCATTCGTCCCCACGTTTCAATGAGTAGAAAAGTTTGAGGAGCATCACCTCCACTGAAGAGGTAAGAGAAGGAATAAGAGCATGAGAAGAAGCTTTAATTATGCTTACTTTTAGTAATGATTCTTGCGTATTATATTTTTTGTGCATAATTGATTCATAATATGCCAAAATATTAAAATAAATATCTCCTCCTTTCTCTCAGACTAAAATGACAACTGCAGTCACCCACACTAGTGCTAATACCCATTCTGTCAGTACACCAACAACAAGACCCGCAGCAATGGCTGACTCTGGCCTCCTCCGAAGTCACGAGTGTCGTTCTCGTGATATCAAGCGTCGGATCGAAGTCATACAAAAGAAAATGGCTGACCTTGAGGAGCTCGGCGTCCCATGTGGGTTTTGCTATGCGTCCATTCGTAACAGTGGAACCCTGTTCACTATGGGTCATCCCGCAATCACTCAACCTATAGAGAAATCACGTCACGTCATATTGAACCATTTATCAAACTGGTCAGAGAAAGGGGAGGAGGCTGGAACACTGAGCGAGAGGAGAAAGAAGGTCCACGTCTTGTTGCCGCCTCTCATGCGACCCCTCGGGGAGCTCTCAATATCTGAGCTAAGGGGTCTGATAATTGGTATCGTCAAAGATCTGGGTCTGAAATGGAGCGATCCTAGACCCTCGTTTTGGCCCGAGGAAATCCCCTTTCAATATCCTAGGAGTACACCTGATGGCTATCAAGGTAGGGAGTGGATGTTTATTTAATGCTTTGTACTTTGCTGAAGGGGGAATATGCATGTATATGTCATTCTGAAAGGACAATTGGGATTATGCAACAGCCTGTAGTTGTAGATATTAGCATAGTAATGAAATACATGTACATACTTACTATTGCAGTGAGGATTCACTTTATGTTGATTCTGGGTTGCTTATTCATTGCCTGCCATGTAAACAATTAGTAGAGGTTGATGTCACACACAATTTCCTTATAAAGGGACTGTTAGCATAAGGGGCTGCCTTATACAGAACATGATTTACCTTTAATGTCATCAGTCTTGTCAGCAAATTCCACAGCTTGCTTATAAGGCATTGACAATCTTATTCAGCTTTGTTAGCAGTTAATGGGGTGCCACTGCCCAGTGAGTGAATAAAATTGAATATTTGACCTTGGTACATGTACGTGGATACATCTAGTGCTAATAAAGTGGAATATGCATCATTCCGTCTCTTTTTATTTTTAAAAATTATATTAATGTTCGTAGTTCGTACATTTGCTGCTATTATAATACATGTACATGTACATATGCATGTTTCCTTGTCTTCCTTTTATATTAATGCTTTACTCCCTCTCTTTCCTCTTTTCCTTTATCCTCAGGTTGTTGGTCAGATGGTCTAAGACAAGTACTACAGTCCATATATTCTTATTTCAACTACGACATAGCCTCTCAAGTCCCCAGCAGGACTCGCTCTACTGTCCTCTCCTCCTCTTCCTCCTCTCATTCCTCCATATCTTCACCGCTCTTGCCTCTTACGACCTTCCCCGTGTTCAATGGGTTGCCAACAACCACTCTCACGCCTGTAGCACAGGACGACGACGAAGAGGAAGACGTTGACGTTGGTACTTTGGAGAACGTTGGTCCACAAGCCAACACTCACTCGGTAGAACCCAAATACGAGGAAGAGCTAACGTCCGATCAAGATGAAGGGGAAGAGGAAGGGGTGGAGCTTGAACGCCCACTCACTCACGCCGTCAGTTATTTTGGGTACGAGTTAGCACGGAGTGAGTCAAGCCACACTTCTTCTCCTCTGGCTAGTTCTACTCAAGACAGTGAAGAGGTCGGTAGGGAGACACCACTTCCACTGCTACCGATCACCACAGACACTAAAGGACTCTCATTGCTACAGCCACAGTTGCTGTACTGTGCTCCTGGTGGGATATATCCACAGCTTTATCCTGCTCTGCATTTATCCGGAACTACTCCTTTACTTCTACCACCAAGTTTGCTGATGAAGCAGCTTTACTCTACGCCCACTCAATTAACGAGTATTCAGTCCCCACCTGCTGATTCTAGCAGTTCTGAAGGTCATAGCGAGCATGTGTTCTCACAGATGCTGTCAAATGGTAGCTCACTCTCACCCTCACAAGTCTCACCTTCTCAATTATCACCTTCACACCTTTCGCCAAGCAACAGGAAAATGGCTACGAGCGCTAGGAGAGATAATGAGCCACACCCTCTCCCAGCCCCTCCTCCCCCTCCTCCTCCTTCTGAGAGCAAGAACCGCAAGTCAAAGAACGGGATTTATATTTATACTAATCCAACGGCTCCGCTTCGATTCATGTCACTCAACAATCGAAAAAGATCTTCCTCAGGGAAAGTCCCTCGGACAACTACCCCCAACCGCGGACCGGCCACTCGCCCAATGACCACGCCTACGCACGTCTTGACCACCCCAACTCAAGAGATGACGGCTGGTAAGAAACTAATAGCAGGAGCCCCTGTCTCCCCTCATACAGGAGAGCCTGTTATTGTGAGGACTTTAGCTGGAGAGGGGAAAGGAGTAAGGACCCAACCTCCTTCGATACGCCAAGTTCCTTCTCCTAACGAAGCCGAGGGTGAACCTCCTTCATTTACTCCGCCCTCTTCTCGTAAATCCCACGGGACGTCGGGAAGGAAGAAAAGAGAGTTGGTTTTTCACTGGTACAAGTCGCCAGAGGCCGCTCTGCCATTGCCTAAAGTACCCAAGTTATTGGACAGTGCAGTATAAAATGAAAAGGGATTGTTTTCTGTTTGAATTGTGCAAACAAATAATCTCCAAATAGTTTCCTTGTTTATTCCTTTCCTTCCAACAATGCAATCAACACACACACACACACACACACAGTCACGCACACACATGAACTTTCACTCTCCACACAATCAACTCTACATCTGTCCTTTCTATATTGGACCACCAGTTACTATATACACATATGTACGTACACACGTACTGTCACTAATTTTTCTCCTTTTGTATGAATAATGACATATTTCTCTATTTTGTATAAAATAATGAAATTATAAATTGTCATCATTTCTGAATTACGTGTACACAGCATAACTAATCATTACTAAAATGTCACGTTACATCATTGGTTTACTACATCATGAAATACACACTAGTCAGTCTGACTGATAAGCAATGATGCAATGATTAGTACAGGTCATAAGATACAATCATTACAGAACAGATTGCTGATAACATGAAATGGTTTCATCAATGATTACATCATAAATTAATTATTGTTTTCATTATTAGTCTGTAGTGCTGAATTCTGAGTAAGAGTTTCTAAGCATCAAATCATCTAACTGTCCCTATTGTCATTATAAAAAAAATAAAACATTATCATTACTATTACCACAACTTATGTGTAGCCTAGCTTAACTGTTACCACAAATGCATTACCGTACAAGATGATTTATTGGCAGAAGTAATATTTGGCAAATTTGCCCATGTAAAGAAATTGACGAATTTTATATTGGCAATTTTGTGTCACGTGTGCCATTGAGCATGCTCAGATTGAAACATAATGGCAGATTTTATATTGGCGATTTCTTCATAGAACTGCCAATCGCCAACATTAATTCCTCACCAATAAATCATCTTGTACGGTATTAATCGATACATTATTTTCTTCTATACATAGTCATTCTCATTCTTTCATACATTTCTACACATTGATTATCTCAACTGAAAACTCCATCAATCACGATGCAAGCCAAATGTGAAACTCGTATAAGAGGAGTGTTATTGGAAGTGCTATTTACATAAGCTAGACAAGCAGGTATACATAGGAAATTGGGAAACTACCCAACACCATATTGGTCTTCATATCACAATTCATGTAATGTTAGGAATCCAAGAGGAAATTCTTCCTGTTTGCATTAAATTAAAGAAAGAGACAAAACTGTTGACACATCATATGCACTATAGTCTACAGAGAGACCCAACCCAAATATAATAACTTATATCAGGGCGATGGCATTTTTCATGTATATATGCATGTACAATGATGTATGTGTACAAATAAACATTGGCAGTCTATATCGTACCTGGAGATGGTTAGCCACACCTTCTGATATGAATAGATGATGATCGTCAAGGTCTTTGATTATGAACCGTTTCCCAAGTAGCTGCTTCTCGTCGAGATATCTGATGAATTCTTTAATTGCAGTGTCACTGCTAATAATAAATATAAAATAATAAATAGAATCTTTGAACATAGCATTACATACCATTTAAGCAAAACTCCTTTAGTTACTTGAACCATTTTAACTCATACCTAATTATCATTCATTTTTAATTAACATGGGCGTGGCCCGATCACATGAGTATCCGGAGGAGAACGGACCCACCCGACCCTAACGAAGGAACAGAGAGAAGAGTTGAGTAAAAGAAGAGGTACATAGAAACGGTTTTATTTCATTATAATGTACAATCCTTTCCTTTTCTGATAGTAATAAAGCTAAGGAGAGGCAGGAGGTGCAATCGAGCGAAGGAAAAGGAGCGCATTTTAGCACTACACAATCTGTACAGCCCGTGAAGCGAGAATAAAAGGATACATCATTTCCTCTTTGTTGTATTTATTGACTAGCCACAAGAGCCTCGCCATCTTATTCAACTCTCCCTGTTTCCTCTAGTTGGAGGTCTAGCCTTTATATATTGATATCTCTTAAACCAAACACAGTTCAAGATGGGTTGCTGTGCTAGCGCTCCAGAGCAGCCGAGAAAGAAATCGAATAGTATGTCATATACTAATCAAGGAGGAGGAGGAGGGGGAGTCCCTGTAGGTGGAGCTAACTCGTATCAGCCAAAACCAATGAACCCAGGCGGGTACCCTCCATCAGCAGCTTATCCTTCCAGTGCTGCCCCTAGAGGCCCTCCTGGGTACAATATGGGGGGTCCACCTCAGATTGGAGGGGGGGCCATGGTCCCGCAAGTTGGAGGTGCTGTACCTCACATCGGAGGAGGGACTATGGGAGGAGCTAGGAGTGCACTCATGTTTATTGGACTTTATCGATATGAGGCTAGGACTCCTGAAGATCTTAGTTTTGATAAAGGTCAGTCATTATTGCTATGATAATAACAATGTACATGTACTGAGGAGGGGTCAAGAGATTACAGGTGTTTAGAACAAGTAATAACTGTTTCTAGAACCAGTAATGGCTATTTTTAGAACCAGTATGTACATGTACATTTGTATGTCTTTATTGGTACTTGGGGTAGTAAACTCTTGTATGTGGTAACTAGTTATAATGTTCCATTGTAATCAACTGATGTGTGAAAGGTGTTCAGACTTCAGTTAGAGGGATTACCAGTGGGGTCCAGTCATTAAATGGTGTTTCTGTCTCCTTTTGTCTGTTATCATTGTCTGCTTGAATGAGCCAATACTAATGAGGACTATAAGGAGAGTAGTTGTCTCTATAAATTAAGTTTAATGTCACCTAATGGTTGGAGTAAAGGGGAACTATAGACAAAAGACTGCCAGTATGTGAGTTTGTGTGTGTGTGGGTCTGAGGGTTGATATTACAAATGTAGGTTGTGAGTATACAACCAAGTAGGTGTATATTCACGATATTATAGTATCCTAAACCAATCAAGTGCACTATTTTAACCTTTTCCAGTTCTTCCATAACTGCTTCCTTATATGGACTGATCCCATATGTAGACTGTTACTATAAATAGAAAGTGTGTTCTCCCCTTGCATACCATTCAGCCATTGATGGAAATGAAATGTATCATATTGAGGGCATTCTTTATTGTGTCTTTGTCATTGATTGCATTAAAATGTGTAATTGGATAGGGCTCACTTTAGAGAGAGAGAAGAGTTACTAAAAATAGAAACACAGATTCAAAAGGGAAGTGGGAATGTTACTATACTTAGCTTGCAGTAGGATGGTGTTATTCTTGTTATGACTATGATAGCATACATGTACATGTACTGCAGTACATGCATGCATGTTCGTATGAATGTGTTGCCTTTCTACCATAAACTGTTTAAGCATGTTGTGAAAACTGCCTACACTGCCTCTCATACTTATAAATTCATACGCTTACTGAATGAAGCCTATACTTGATCTAATGTACATGGACATGCATGTAAATGTACATGCATGTACATGTAGTTGTACAAGACTTATATAAGTAATATGTTCTACATGCATGTAAATCTAACCTAATACTTGTGTATAAGTATTATATGTTTTGATGTGTGTATTAAGAGTAATGGCTGTCATTAGTCATTGTTACTGTTTGGGGGTTTTCTGTGTATATTTAAGCTTCTCTGGAATAACAGGGCACTGTTTGCTCAGTGTTAGCTTTAAATTTTTTGATGTCTGGATTCTTCTTTGTAAAGTCACTTTCCTATTGCTATCTTTTTGTTCTTTTATTATTTCATGCTTCTTGTCTCTCTTCCCTCTCTCTCTCTCTCTCCCCCTCTCTCTCTCTCTCTCTCTCTCTCCTTTATCTCCACAGGTGATCAGTTACAAATTATGAATAATAGTGATGGTGATTGGTGGCTGGCCCGTTCGCTAAGGACCGGCAGAGAAGGCTACATCCCGTCTAACTATGTTGCTGCTATGGAGAGTGTGCAAGCACAAGAGTAAGCATAGAGAGAGAGGGGGGAGAGGGAGGATGAAGAACATTACAAATAAGTAGTACAATCAGGGTTTCCCACAAAGCATGTTAAATGAGCTAAACAGCATGAGCTTCAAGAGCTGACAAGCACAAGCAGGTACATGTACATGTACATGTACATGCATTTGAAGCAACTTTTAAAATTAACAAAAATCCAATTTTGATCTGATTCAGCTCAAATTTGCTATACAACATAAGAACATGTATATGTATCAGGAAAAGTCATGAAATGTAGAATTCTCTCCTAGTCATTTTTGGTAAAATTTTGCCAAAGACTCTATACTATAATAGTACAGGGACTTTGGCACAATTCAAAAATTTATTTAACAAATAATTTTGATTGGAATTACATTGTACCTTAGACTTAATTGCTACACAAAATAAAAACCTGTATAAGTATCAGGAAAAAATTATAAAAAATAAAGAATTTTCTCCTAGTCATTTTTGGCAAAATATACCCTGTACTATAATAGTACAGGATCTTACAATCAACTGACAAGAAGCTGCATAAGCACTATAATAACCAAAATCTTGTGGGAAACCCTGACTACAATAATTATAGTAAATTGAATAGAGGGAGGCAGCAAGAAAGAAATACATATCATTATTTGACTAAACTATTCTTCTCTATTTCATTTAGTTGGTTCTTTGGTAAGATCAAGCGTTCCGATGCAGAAAAGAAGCTCCTACAGATCGGGAATCAGTCCGGGACTTACCTGATCCGTGAGAGCGAGAGTCAGCCTGGAAACTACTCTCTCTCTGTCCGTGACGGAGAGTCGGTCAAGCACTATCGTATCAGGAAGGTTGACTCAGGAGGTTGCTACATAGCACCACGGGCTATGTGCAAGTCTTTAGACGACCTCGTGAATCATTACAAGAGAGAGGCTGACGGTCTCTGCTGTCGTCTCACTGTCCCTTGTCCAAAGTCCGATAAACCGGTGACCGGTGGTCTCTCGTACAACACAAAGGACGAGTGGGAGATTGAGCGCACGTCACTCCGTCTCATTAATCGTTTGGGGGCGGGGCAGTTTGGAGAGGTGTGGGAGGGGCTTTGGAATAACACCACGTCCGTTGCTGTCAAGACTCTAAAGATTGGTACCATGTCTGTTGAGGACTTCCTCTCTGAGGCTCAGATAATGAAAAAACTCCGTCACGAGAAGCTGATCCAGTTGTATGCCGTCTGTACTCAGGAGGAACCCATTTACATTGTCACGGAACTGATGAAGAATGGCAGTTTGTTGGATTACCTCCAAAAAGGAGCTGGACGCCATCTTAAACTACCAGAACTCATTGATATTGGAGCTCAGGTTAATAGTAGTTATTAATAGTGGTTATTAATAGTTATCAGTAGTTATTAATATTAGTTATTAATACCATATTTATTATGATTGTGCTTGCTTGCTTAGTTACTAATGAATTCTAATTCCTTTTGTTAATGGTATAATTAATGTGTATAGCTTTTAGGGCTGAATAAACATGTATTTTATAAATTGATTAACTGATAATGATATAATTGGCACTATTGTTTCTTTACAGGTTGCTAACGGAATGGCTTATCTTGAAGCCCAGCACTACATCCATCGTGACTTGGCAGCCCGTAACGTCCTAGTAGGCGAGGGAAACATTGTCAAGATAGCCGACTTTGGTCTTGCCCGTCTTATCAACGACGACGAATATTGTGCAAGAGAAGGCGCTAAATTCCCCATCAAATGGACGGCACCGGAAGCTGCCCTCTACTCTCGCTTTAGCATCAAATCAGACGTCTGGTCGTTTGGTATCCTACTAGTTGAACTGATCACCCACGGCCGTATTCCGTACCCCGGTATGACAAATGGCGAAGTCCTAGCCAAAGTAGAGCAAGGCTATCGTATGCCGGTCCCCCCTGGCTGTCCAGAGCCATTGTACCAGATCATGTTGGATTGTTGGAAGCAGGAGGCTGATGAGAGGCCTACGTTTGAGTATCTCCATCACACCCTTAATGATTACTTTGTTTCTGCAGCTGACACTGCTTATAGGATGCTTACATGAGAAAGGAGCATGGCTGCTTAGCCTCTACTATGGTGACTGTTACTATTATTATTATTATTATTATTGTTATTGTTGTTATCCTGACTATCTGTCATTATTGTGTTTCATGAGGGATTTATTTTTATTTTCGTTTTCTTTCTTCGTAACGTTTTGTATACGTACATGTACTTGTTTTTAGTTTCCTGCTGCTCCACTCTCCTTCCTGCCTTACTCTCTCTCCCTTCCTTTCTCTCTTCCTCTACTCTTGTGTGACCATGTGGTGTGGGTAAGCTTAGGGGTGTGGTTTTTAAACTGTCACAAGCAACCATACATACTTGCAGCTGATTATTATTATTATTATTTTGACGTGACGTACATTATTAATAATAGCCTTATCTTATTGTATTATTGATTATTATTATTATTATTATAGATTTTTGTTTTTATGTGTATTTTTGAACGATTCTCTTTTTCATAATTTTAAGTTAATGCTATAGCCTGCACCATTTTATGGCCGTATATCTTAAAATGCGATGCATCTCAAAAAAAATTTACAAAATCATCGCACCATTATTATAAATAAAAAAAATAAAAAACTCACAGCAGATGTGTATGTAACATGCTAAATGTATGAAGTGTGATAAAGCACTAAACAATTATTATTATTATAAATACAATAATTATAAATTATTTTATTTGTTGAGATTGAGGCCGCGTGATACCTCAGCAAGATGGCGAAAGTGTCTCACTAAACTATCAAGATTTCTCTTGCAGTCTTGGGTATTCAAGTATGTTTTAGTTTGAATTATCATGTCTATTAGAACCTATAAATTGATGGTAAATAATAGTTATAAAAATCTGCACATTTTAATGTAGTAATTAATAGTTTTTAATAATAGTAATTTGCATTGCTACACATTTCAATGATAATATTTTTTTACTTTTGAGTCCCTTTCATCAGGGTTTATTGTGATTGGCATCGAAGGGGAAAAGCGTAGGAACTTTATGTCCAGTGCTTCACAAGTCTTACCAAATATCTGAGCGACATTCTCTGACTCTACAAGCTAGAGGAGAAAGCAGACAAATGAAGTACAAAGTCTTATAACATAACAATTAAGCCAGGCATACACTAGGCAACATGTTGCTTACAAGATCAAAGTAACCACTAATGTTGCCAGCAACATGTTGCCTAGTGTATGCTTGGCTTTAGTTCCATTGTCACGAAATCTGTGACAGTCCATTAGTTCCAGAGGAGGTACATTATGTAGGACACGGTTGAACTTTGAGTAATAATTGCAAAGTTCAATTGCATTCCGTTGGTATCACTTGATGAAAAATGGCCAAGAATTTTTTATTAGTACCACTTCTAGCAAAAAAACTAGAGCATCAAAATAGAGCCAGTGGGAATTTTGTTGCTTTACTAGAAACTATGATAGTTGCAGTTATTTTAACATCTTAAACTAGCAAAGATTGATTTATTTGATGAGGATCAAAGTTAAGATGCACTGTCTCTTTCTCCTAAATATTCTCCACACACTGGTGATTTTAACAACCATCAAGGGTCGTCATAGATCTCTCTAGTTTCTGCAGTAGTAGCTAGTTTTGTGATACAATCATCAGAAAGCTGTCATTTTGCATCACGTGATACCAATGGAATGCAACTGAACTTTGCAATTATTGCTTAAAGTTCAACCATGTCCTACCTCCTCTGCATTAATTCTATTGTTACAAAATCCGTGACAAGCAAAATACATGTAGACCCACTCTGCTTTTCTTTTATCATCATACATCATACATGTACATGTACATGTACAATGTATATATACAGTCTGTACTTACGGCAGTTGACAGCATCTTTATAAAACGATGTGCTCTTCTGAAGGTTCCCCTCAAGTCAAGCCATCCCTTACCAAACAGATCAGTCTCTCCCAGTATCTCTGGAGGGTAGTTACCAGTTCCCACTGATATCGCCATTGCAACCTTTGGCTTTGGAAGCCCCTATATACAATTCAAGGCATATTAGAATAAAGTCATAGAATAAGGTCATAGAATAGTAAGAATACATGTATAAAGAATGAAGCTAGCGTACTATAGTAGAGGCCCGGTCCAAAATTTAACAAAACACCATGTTTTCAAAAATTGGCTTGTTTTTACATGTAAGTGCTCACGACTCAAAAATTATTTGTCAGAAACAGCTCAAAATTTCTACATAGCATAAGGACATCAATATGTATAAGAAAATGTAATAAAAATTTGGGGGGACTTTGGAGTCATTTTTTGAACAAAACCATGGGCCTTGGGTACTTTTCAAAAATTGGCCATAATTTTTTTTAAATGCTCATTACTTAAAAATTTTTTGTCAAAATCAACTCAAACTTTTTACATAGCATAAGGACATCAATATGTATCAGAAAATGTAGTAAAAATTTGGGGTGATTTCGGAGCCATTTTTAAAAAAAACCATGGGCTATAGCCTTGGGTATTTTTCGAAAATCAGCCATTTTTTAAAACGGCCGTAACTTGAAAAATTGAAGTCGGAATCACCTCAAACTTTATACACAGCATAAGGACATCAATTTGTATCAGAAAATGAAATAAAAATTTGATGTGATTTCGGAGCCATTTTTCCAAAAAAACCATGGGCTATAGCCTTGGGTATTTTTCGAAAATCAGCCATTTTTTAAAACGGCCGTAACTTGAAAAATTGAAGTCGGAATCACCTCAAACTTTATACACAGCATAAGGACATCAATTTGTATCAGAAAATGAAATAAAAATTTGATGTGATTTCGGAGCCATTTTTCCAAAAAAACCATGGGCTATAGCCTTGGGTATTTTTCGAAAATCAGCCATTTTTTAAAACAGCCGTAACTTGAAAAATTGAAGTCGGAATCACCTCAAACTTTCTACACCGCATAAGGACATCAATATGTATCAGAAAATGTAATAAAAATTTGGGGTGATTTCGGAGCCATTTTTCCAAAAAACCATGGGCTATAGCCTTGGGTATTTTTCGAAAATCAGCCATTTTTTAAAACGGCCGTAACTTGAAAAATTGAAGTCGGAATCACCTCAAACTTTATACACCGCATAAGGACATCAATATGTATCAGAAAATGTAATAAAAATTTGGGGTGATTTCGGAGCCATTTTTCCAAAAAACCATGTCCTTAACCTACATGTATATTTCTACCCTTTTTATAATAAATTTTTTGAGGGCTCTGTTCCCTTTTCAACTGGGCTATATAGCCTTGGGTATTTTTCAAAAATCAGCCATTTTTTAAAACGGCCGTAACTTTAAAAATTGAAGTCAGAATTGCCTCAAACTTTCTACACAGCATAAGGACATCAATATGTATCTAAAAATTTGGGGTGACTTTGGAGTCATTTTTTGAAAAAATTGGTTCTTTTTTCAAAATGCTTATAACTAGAAAATTACTTATCGGAAACAGCTCAAAGTACATGTACTGTACAGTACATACATACTGTATGTACTGTACAGTACATACAGTATGCAAATGCACAATCACTCACCATTTTATCATAATAGTCGCATATTTCAACCCAAGAAGTGGTACATGGGTTATTGGCTAAGACGCCTCCATCAACAAAATCATCACACTCAGAGAAATAAGTTGGACCGGCTGATGTGTACCTTGCTACCTTCCAGACCAGCTCTGAAGGAGGAGAGAAAGATGGAACATACATGATACATGTATAGCTAAAGTCTATTCACTTTCACCTGACCCCTGGCTTTTTTCAATTAATAAATAACTACGTCACATCCGCATTCTTTACGTATTTGTGGTTTTGGAATTGTTTTTGTTGCATGGAAGGGATGCAGATAAGTAGCAGCTGAATTTATTCTGGCTGTTCTAGCTGCATAATTGCGGTCAAAGGTATGTCATTGAGTTTATACAGGGACATCCAAAAAAGGCTAAGGCCTTATCATTTTGACCCGATCTTTTTATCTAAAGGACGGGAAGGACCTAGTGATTCTAATGGTGCAAACAAAATTTCTAAATTCTATGTTTATCAAAAGTTATAACAAAAAATCAATAGGTCAGGTGAAACTGAATAGACTTTAGTACGTCATTATACATGTACATGTAAATGTATGAGGGGATGAGGTAAAGATATGCCATATACGTGTAGCTTTTTATTTTGGTGGCACTTTATTTTTGCTATTTTGCTGTATCATATGCATTGATGATTGGCAATTTTAGTATTGGCGATTCCGCTTGCACACTGCCAATCGCCAAAATAAAAATCCATCAAATGAAATAATCACATACCATCGGAGTATTTGTCATTGAAGCAATTATTAAAGTAATGAAGTGAAGGAGGATTCGTTTTAGAACTTACAGCACTAATAAGAACTCTGAGAGAGAAAGAGAAAAATTAAACTCTATTATACAGTACATGAATGATATTCTTTTTATTATTTTAGTGGCTGTTGAAATCAGCTCAAACATTAAGTTAATAATCATACTTTGGATACTCTATGTCTTTCAGTCTCTTGTCTTTAAATTGAGCCTTTAACATTTTCTCAAGAGCATCAGTTCTCTTAGCAATGGAGAGTACTCCTCCAGCAAAAACCTCTTCTCTCAGTTGAAAATATAACTGTCTCACTTCACCTAGTGACACACCCACTGAGAGAAATAGAAATAAAATAAAATAAAAATAAAACAAGTGTACACACAATTGCATTATATTGTATATTAAAATATTAAAATACAATATGAATTACACGTAGGTTTAGATCATTAGTATTTAGATTATTTTTGCAAAAATTGAGTCACATGAACCCTCAAAATTAAAAAAAATTGATTTGCCCATAAGCCAAAATCCTTAATTTCTACTACAAACTATTACAACAATATAAAATAATAGATTTTGTTTTAAGTACAAGTAATGCTGCATTTACACTACAGAAGTGGGCCAAACCGTGCTGAACCAGGCTGAGCTAGCCCTGCTGTACTAACCATGCTGGCCTGGTTTGGCCCAGCTCACTTCAGCTCAGTTTGGTTACTGTTTACACTATCAAATGAAACTGTGCTGGCCCACTTTTAAAGAAGCTAGTGTAAACACAGTATGAGTCACTTACAATACACTAGTGCTAATGCTATTATTCCTCCAGTGCTGGTCCCAATTATCCAGTCAAATAGTTCAGTTATCTTTCTTCCGGTCAAACTCTCGATGAACATCAATATCTCAATCTGTATCAGCCCTCTGATTCCTCCGCCATCAAGAAAAAGCATCCTTGACCCCGCACCTTTCTTAAATTCTAGCGTCGACTTGTACTTGTTGATACGGCAGAGCTGAATCTGTCTCGCAGTGAGAGGATCTAAGAACGTCCCGTTATGATCGACCTGACCAGGTGGAAGAGTCACTTCTGTGTTTATGGAGAACTGGAGGCTTTGTTTTTCAAGCATCTCTTCCAGTTTAAAAACAAACGCAGTGATTCTCCTCTTGTCAAGGTACGAGCCTAACTGGATGCACTCTTCAATTTCGTAGCTCTCATTCACAAGCGAGTTTAGCGATTCGTTGCGTGGGCGTGGCTTTCTTGATGAGCTCCGCCCACCTGGGAGGGCGTGTAGTTGAGAGAAGAGCTCGTGTAGAGCGTCGAAACTGCTTGAGTCAGGTCTCTGGACGTGAGACATGATCAAGTCGAGCGGAGTCTGCCCGTTGTTGTTAGAACAATTAATATCAGCACCAAAAGCAACAAGAGCCTTAATACACCACTCATCATTTAACTGGGAGGAAGAGGGAGAGAGAGAGTGGAAAATAAAATACATTTTAATTATAAAGAGAACACTATATACATGTCACATGGAATATTGTTTACAAATTAGTGTTACCAATTTATCATAATACTGTAAATGTACATTGTATTTCATGGGTGTAAAATTTTGCAATTTGGTATTCATGAATAAAAATCTTTGCAATTTTAAATGTAATTACTATACCAGCATGTACTATAATCAGCATGCTATTGTGCAAATTTTTCTATAATGCAAAAACTGCAAAACATATGGCACATACATGTTTTAGATCAGTACTATAATATGTACATGTATATCGTAAATGTACCTTTGTAGCTACATGTAAAGGAGTGTCTCCATTATTATCCTCTTTGTTAATATCCAACAGTTTCACATTACAATGAACTAATAATCCCAGTAACAGATCCAGTCTATCATCACGACTACTCTTTATGTAACAGTGGAGGGGAGTGTCCCCATACTCATTAGGGACGCTCACTTTTTCACCCTCCTTGTTGAGATGCTTTGATATAAGAGTCTGGAAGAGAGAGAGACAGACAAAAAGTGTTCAATCATGTAAATAATTTTTACTTACAGAGATGTTTTTAGGATAATAAATATCGTGCTTGTCTCCCCTGAATAAAGTAGAAAACTACAAAAATTACAAATAATATTATAACAAAAATAAATAAATAAATGAATAATCTTTACTCACAAATGATGGTTTCCTTGCTGGTGGCTGTTGCTGTTCCTTCTGCATAAGCTTGTCATACTCTGCTGGATCCATTGGGTGCCAGTTAAGGGTCTCCTCTACTCCCTAGACGAAACATATAATAGTCCTTTTGCCAGAAAAATTACATGTACAATTTGTATTTTCCTCCTAAAATTTTAAATACTTTATTAAATAAAGGGGAAATACTTTTTCTTTGCAAATTTCCTGGGCAAACTTTCCACGAAAATAATTTTGTCATGGCAAATTTTACAGTATGTCATTTTTCTAAAAGGATAGAGCTGTTCGTGTTTTTTTTTCAAAAACTCGCCCCACTTTACCCTACCCCTCCTTACAGTGCTAATGAAAGGTGGAGAGAAGCTGTTGCGTGAGTTAGCAGAAGACGCTGTATTACTTCTCACTGTATCACTTTTCACTGTATCACTTTTCACTGTATCACTTTTCACTGTATCGCTTCTCTTCTTCTTAGGGCTGCCAGGACTGTGCTTTGTCTGTCCCTTTGGCTCCTCCTCAGTCACCAGACACCTCCCAAGGGACAATACCAGTGCGTTTTGGTCTTCGCTATTGCTACGCCGGTGGGTTTTTGAGTTTGGGGGCGTGGTCGAGGGTTTCTTGGGAGTCGGAGTCGTGTTGAAGAAAGGAGTGTGGTTTTTCTTGGGAGAAGAGGAGGGATGAGGAGGAGAGAAAGAGCCAAGAACCTGGGGGGACTACACAAAATATAAAATATTGAGTACATGTGTACATGTATACACAAACAACATACCAGTGTATCATAAACTCCAGTCTCCATTAACTGCAAAATAAAATGAATAAATGAATGAATAATAATAATAATAATTGCATAGCTATTGTATGGTTTGTAATAGATAATACATGTACATGTAGATAATATTTCTTACCCAATTCTTGTTCAATGGTGATGACGAGAGTTTTTCAGCAAGACCACTTTGAGGCACCTTTAGTGAACTAGGGCCGTCTGGAGCCCCCACGCCATTTAAAAGATTCTCCTCTTTCTCCTTTTCAGTAAAAGAGGGCGGAGCAATGGAACGAGGCGGAGATTTCACCGCCACACGTGAGAAATTCCTCGGCTCCATAGAATATTCAAACTCACTTCTCACGCTAGCAGGACTGAGTCTAGTACCAGCACTACTCATGTATCTATAGGTACGGATTGGGGAGGGAGACGTAGACCGACGATTAATGGCTACCTTTCTCTTGTCAGTTTGCTGCCCTTTTCTTGATGGCGAAAGGTCTACTTTAGAATTGGTGTCCAAGATACCGTGAAAACTTGACTCCAGTGATGTCTCAAGGTCAGCTAAGCGATTGGTTACTTCTGAAGGCACTAGTAAATTACTGTCTATAGGAGGGGTCTGTTCAACCAGCGGCTGATCGGTTAGTTTCGTAGAGTACGGCCTATATCTTTGAGAATTAGGAAATAATAGAGGAGCTGGTTCTTTAGAACCCTCTACAGACATAGAATACGCTGATTGTGGGCGTGGCCTAGCCCTCGGAGGTTTTTTAGGCGGAGTCTTGGGAGAGGGAGAGAATCCTAAAGTAGCTGGTATAGAAGGAGCAACGACGACACGAGCTGGAGGATCAGGTACGGTTGAAGAAGAAGGAGGGCACTCATGTACATCACGAGTTGTAAGTATAAGAGGAGTATCGTTAATATGGGCAGTACCATTAGTTAAAATAGCAGTAGCACCAGTTGAATCGGTGGTGTCGCCATTTAAATGAGTGGTATCACCAGTTGAGTGAGCCTTGGTAAGAGTGTGTCCTTTAGGTGATTCAGTGCTTCCCTTGGTATGTGGTTTTAAAATATCATCATCCGAAGGACTACGTGCAGGTTTCTTGCATGTATTTGGACTTGCGAAAAAACTAGGCGGCTTCTGTATCTGAAAATAAGGAGATATGCTTCCTTCGCTGCCGCTAGAAAGTTTCTTTTTGCTACTTCGCCTGCACTTCTTGGGAGATGAGGAAGAGCTTGTGTTCTCTGAATTTTGTGCGTCGTGAGAGAGAGGAGGGGGAGAGTGGTCTGGAGTATGACCATGTGATGACCTGTCTGACATTCTGTGTGCTTTCTTTGGAGAATCAAATATTTGAGGATAAAACATGCCCTAAAAAAGAGATAGTGAGAGAGAGGAGGGAGAGAGAGAGAGAGAGAGAGAGAGAGAGGGAGGGAGGGAGAGAGAGAGGGAGAGTGTGTGTGTGTGTGTGAGAGAGAGTGAGAGTGAGAGAATAAAGGGGAAAGAAAGGGAGAGGGAGAAAAGGAGGAGCACACAAAAACAAAACATAAAAATAGAGTAAACAATACTAATTCATTAGAAAAACAAAACACAGCACTTGACAATTAGCACAATCATTACTACTAAACTATAGCATAAATACTACAGTCCAGCATAACTTAATGTCATTACAATAATTAAAATACTACACATCTCTATTAAACCCACTAAGTAAAAACTACCATAAATTATCCTTAATTTCTATAACAGGCCAAACATGTATGACTTTTATAAATATGTACAACGTATATCATCTCCTGAAATAAATTTATTATACATGTACATCAAGAGCATAACCCCCCCCCATCATGTACTCTTGTGTATAATTACATGTACATGTACATTTGCACATGTAGTTCACAGGAGTAAATTGTCCACTGATGTTTATCTAAATTTATTGGCTCGTTGTCAATAAAAAACACAAAAACAGGACCAATGTACACATGTATGACTGAAGTGTTTCAAAACACACTCTCTCTCTATCTATCAACCTACAACATACCTACATGTACATACATGTACATGTACATACCAGTACATGTACATACCAGTACATGTATGCACATGCTGTACATACCTATAATATACCAATGATACATGCAAGTGCGCTACACGTATGTACAGGTACATCTACATGTACACGTGCATCTGCCTACCGAACAATCATCTGATTACAAACAGTTATTTTCATATGCTTGATGCATTGCTGATAACGAAATAATACACTAACTAATAAACTCACTTATACTCTTGGGTCATGTGAGCCATTGTTTGCATTATATATATAAAGTACATGCACCATTAACTGTACAACAATACTTAATAATATTGTAAATAAAGAGCTCTCCTTCCATTCTTTCATCAAAGCTCTCTATAGCAATACAGCCAAAAAGTTGTGTTATACTCTTTTGTTTAGAATTATGCCAGACTACAAGCTTGTACCCAAAGCACACGTCAATTATACACCATGTTAACAGGTACAATAACAGAATAGTGACATCAAAAGTGTTTAAATGCCAGTAATTGTACAATTGGCGGATAGAATTTCACACACAGACCCGAGTACTAATATAGTGACTCACCTGCTAGGCAGGGCCTTGTTTGCGAATGCTGGGTGTTGAGTGAAGGGCTAAAGGCAGCAGCAGAACGTTAGAAAAGTGCACACATTTCTTCTCTCTGGGCTACAGGTACATAATTGATTAAGTTTATGGGCGTGGAATAAACAATAATAATAATTGCGTCATTCATTTAATTAACGAGCCACGCCCTTCATTAATGTATCTACACAATGTAAAATTAAATATTTTCAAGGAATATAATATGCATTGCTTTGTTAGGCAATGTTATGTTATATATAAGAGATTATTGCTTTATTGTTGTTTGTCTGGTGTGGTAGTTCTCTTTTCTCCTTTCCATGCCTTCATCCGGTCAATCTGATGTGCTATGTTCATCTCTTGTTCTTTAAGTTTTAGCAGTAGCTCTGTCTTCATGCCAGACACATGACCCTTAAAAAGACACAGTATTAATAATAATAATAATAGACACAATAATTTGCATTCATTTTCGTACCAGTACTAATGGCCCTAAAACAGTCTTCAACTCTTCTTGATCAACTTTCTCGTCATCTTCAAAAGAGTCATTTAAATCACCATACAACTTTCCTAGTTTATCCTTCTCCTCTGATAATGAAGACTCCTTCTCTGAGATCAATTGATTCTTTTGCAGTTCATACTGAGTATCAACACAAGCAACTCTCTCCTTCCTATGCCATTCTTCCTCTGTAGTCCCTTCAGTAAGAGGAGGAAGGAGAGATGAGGAATAGAGGGTAAGTTCAAGGTAGGTCATGTCTCTCTCTTGTTCTTCATTCATCAGGTAGTGGTAGAGGTTAGGTTGAAGGAGGAGTGTTTGTATGAGGTATTGAGTGGTTACTTGTTGGCCATGATGTGTAGTGAACGAGGCTGAGAGACTTTGAAGCAAAGACTTTAAATCCTCCTCTAATTCACAAAATTCATCTAGAACAATAAACAATATAAGAATAATAATAAATTAATAATAATGAATCAATGTATCTACAGTTAGTGTACTTGCACATTATATGCATGTAACAGTTGATCAAAAATGTGATTAAATGTAAATATTTGATTTAGCGCAAAAAATACCTCAAAAATTTTCTTATGATGCTTATTTGAACATAGAAACACTAAAATGCCATTGCCAAAATCTATACAGTATAATTCTAATTAAAGTGCACTTCACATAAAGGAAGACACAGAAACCAATCAACAACATTACAGAGAACAAAACATTGTAAATTACTATAATTTATACTCTGTATTCCCCCAATAGACAGTTATTTGGATTGACTGTGTCTAGACAATCCAATGATGTCAAATGACAGCTCACATTACAGCACAAATACTATTGGCAATATCTGGAGGAGCTTTAAAAATTCATTAAAAATCCAATTTTGATTAGAATCAACTCAAGCTTTCTATTCAACATAAAGACATGTATATGCATCGGAAAAAAATTTAAAAGACATTCTCTCCTTTTCAATATGGAAAAATTTCGCCCAAGACTGTGTATTATAGTACAGAGACTTTCACCCAATTTTAGAGCAGCTTTTAAAATTAAATTTGTAAAAAAATCCAAATTTTAATCGGAATCAGCTCAAATTTTCTATGCAATATACGAACATGTATGCATATACATGTTCGTATATTGCATAGAAAATATGCATCAGAAAAATTATAAAAATGCTCTTTTAGCCATTTTTGACTAAATGCCTCGCTCTATATTGGTATTTTATACCAACTTTAAATTCATAGAAAAATTTAATTTTGATCAAAACCAGCTAAGTAACATATTGCTACATAACATACTTATTATACATGTACTTTTAGCAATTAGTATGTGGTTAGAATACCTAGAACAGAGCTAATACTTCCACATAATTCAATTATCTAAACCCTAAACCCTGAATCCTAACTAATACTATTTGTACATGCACTTAAGTTAGCATGAGAGGAAACTGTAGTATGAATGCTTGAAATCATAGCTATGTGAGTAAATCAAGCCATGCATTCACAATTAAGAGCATTACTAGGTAAGCAGTGAATCACTAGTAATCTTTAACTCCACCATTAAATCATTAATCCTATAGCTACAAGTACAATGTACATGTACAAATAGTACAACAAATGATACCCTGTTTGAAGTAGATGCATGTACATGTATATAAAAAACATTTGAGGTATATAGTGATTCTATTCATAAAAATATAACACCTAATACCATAAAACTATTAAAATATAACCCGCATAAAACAATTCGGTATGATCTACATGTATTATATATAGATTATAGTTTCACCTTTATTTTTTATCCACTCCAGCCCCTCAAGTAGAGATTGTACTAATAAAATGGTGTCCGTTTGATTGAGTCCCTTCATTGTAGCATGGTACAATGCTTCATGGATCAGTTCAGCTATTATTGGTTCTCTCTCGTACTCGCCATCAGTTGTTGTTCCTTTTTCTCTTTGCTGATGCCCAGTGGATAAAAGAAAAGCGAACAATGACTCTTTTAATTCGTTCCTTTCTCTGTCAATAGCATTGCTTTTAGCTGCAGAAATGTAAAGTTCCGAGAGGCTTTTAAACGAGTCACTCAAAACGTACTCTTTAAAAGTCGCCATTTTAAAATTATGACCACGCCCAATCACAAAATACCATCACGTGATGATAATAAAATTTACCGCCAAAATCAGCGGGTTTAGATTCATTAATTATAATTTATAAACCTAGAGGAATTCACCTTTTAAAAGTGAGTTGAACTTGATTTCAAACTAAAAATAGTATCTTTTAGAATGAAATTTATTGAAGATACTGAAAAATAAGAAATTTAATGAAATTTAATAATGAAATTTAAGTGAAATAATGAAATTTATTGAAATACTTGACAGAGGATATATACTAAAAAATAATGAAATTTAATGAAACTTAATACTAAAATAATGAAATTTATTGAAATGCCTGACAGAGTACGAGAGTAGATTCCAATCTACTCTCCAATCTACTCTCGTACTCTGTCAGGTATTCCATTATCAAGTTACGTCAAATTTAAAATAGTTACTGATGCAACGAAAGGAAAGATGTGAATTAAAATACATGCGTAAATACATGAGATGTAGTACATGTGCATGCATTAATTTTATTTTTATTACAGGAGTTTATAGAAATATTCTAGATGTTTAAGAGACAATCCTGATACTTTTAGCAGCTGCAAGTGCATGAAGTATGTTGTCTCAGACACAATGGAGTATTTTATGCCATGCAAATGGACACACTATATTTTTGTGCATTTACAGCTCAAGCCTGAATGTGAAAGAATAGCTAGGTGTTCCTTTAGGCACACCTTTCTGCAAATTTCAGCATGGTACGGCTTCCTTTTGCATAAAAAGGGGAGGAGGTTAATTTGAGTATACACAAGTCATTTTGACAGTTATTTTTACTGAAAAGCAGCAGTGTGAAGAGAAGAAACAGACTTACAATTGAGGAGTAAATAAAATGAGGTAGGCGCAGCATGTTCTACACGTGTTAGAACAGTCTCTATGACTATGCCAGCGTGTGCTTGTTGATAGCCTGTAGCTTTATAGACTGTTTATGTTGGATAATGTGTTTATGTACTCAAATAGCCTAGCGAGGAAGTCAACTTGGCTGACTGCCTACTGTCTCTTAGGACTATATAAATAAGAATTTAATATTCGAAATAGAATAGGAAGGGGGCTGGGGAATGTAACAGAGCTAGCCAAGGCTACAGCAACAGCAGACATGTTATCTTCTTCTCCTTTTTCTAGCTCTCCTCCGGCACACAGAAACTCTACCCCTTCCATTAGCAGAAGTAGCTTTATGAGTCGTTGGTGCCCTACCCGAGGCTCTCCTTTAGCGTTATCCTCTCAAGTCTCCCCAGGATCTTCTTCCACTAGGAGGGCTCGCTCTGGCAAGCGTCCCAGGTCGAGACCACCCGGTTTTGAGGAGGAAGAAATCGATGACGACGGTGAAAGTTTGCCTACAGTGACTGATACTATCACAACAGTTACTACGACTTCTACTAGAGACAGTAGAACTATCAATGGTGATGAGGGCTCTCACGTCATCTCTTCTTCCTTTGTAATGATCCAAGAAGAGAATCAATACAATGAAGCTTTGATTGATGAAGCAACATGCGCCCTACCTGATCCTCCTAGAAGGGTCAGTCGGAGAATGGAAGAAGTGGCTTGCTACAATTCTCCACTTCACAAGCCGAGGAATGCAAAGGTACAAAGAGACACAGTGTATGTGTAATCTATGTGTGTGGTTAACATCCACTCTCGCTAATTTTGTATGTCTTTATGACATTTTCACTTGTTGCCAGCCCCTTTCTTTCATAATACATGATGTGATACTCATTCATTGTTTACATTATTATATTTCCTTTATTATCTATTCCTGGCTCCTCCTCTTTAGTCTCTCCCTCTCATTTCTTTCCTCTCTTTAGCCTTTCTATACATGTACTGTATGTGATATGATCTTGTCATTCTTACTATAATTCACCTTGTCTTTATAGAATAGCTAATTGTAGATTAACCCTTCCCCCTCTCCAACCCGCCTTTCTCAAGTATAATTTTTTGGTTCCCTTTTTCGTTTTCTACAATGGCACATGTAAATGTATCTTGAGTTACCGCTATTCTAAACTTCTTTTCTATTAATTTATGATAAATCTCGTAATCATTATGCATGGATTTCCTATTTAATGTCCCAGTTTTGTTTATTCCTTATAATGAGTCGTGCTAATGAAGCTCGTTTTGTTTCTTATCACTAATGGGTGTCGTATTTGAAGACTTTACGAATAGAAATAGTGCAAAAACCAACAATTAAGTGGTATGTGTGGGTTTAAACAAATTGGGCACTGAATGTTTGAGTGTATTGCCACTGCATAACAGAACCCATTCAAGTCAGGTATTGTGTCCCTCTCCCATAGCAGCTGTTTGTTATACATGTAGATATAGTTTGTGGTTATGCTCTACTATTGTTAGTTAAGATTATCTGTCCAGTCTCAGCATAATGTGTGAGGTCTTCTCCCTCTCTCTCTCTCTCTCTATCTACTCTCTTTCCTTTTCTCCTCTTACCTTTTAATCTTTTCCCTGTGGATTTAAGTATACATATTTAATCACTGTATCTGTATACTTTCAGTCTTTTGGTAAGAGTAACTTTATAGTAGAGCCACAGTGACATTGAAACTGTATTACAGTAGGACAGAGTGCACATTGTATCTGCATATGTACATGTACATACGTGTACATGTATTATGTTAAAAGGTTTTGTGCCCAGAGACTCAAGTGTTTAGACAAGTTGCACAATTTTGCATCATAAGGAGTGTGCACATGTACATTATGTACATGTACATGTACGTGTAGTATGAGAGGCCTGTATTGGTAATATCTTACTGTAGTATCTATAGTAAAGGGGATATGACTTTCTCATGATTTGGAAACCATACCTATTGTTTATTTGAGTCCTTATAGGATACATGAAGGAGGGAACTGTGGTTTTACTGATTATTAGATACAATGTACCGTTAATAGTACATATTGTATCTATTCCTGAGTATCCTCTATTGTATTGTACTGTAGTAGTATTAAACATGTGTCTTGCATGTGCTGGTACACTTTGTTGGGTTTATGGTGGCATACTTTGGTTAAGAAAATTGAATTATTGCTAATTAATTATAAGGAAGTTTTCTTGAATGTATTTAGCATTTTATTTTGTTATTTTAAACCCTGGGACTATTCTTTCTTTATTTACCAATGACAGAGAGGGATAGAGATGGTCCTCCCTGATGTTTTGGGTAGCGTAGTAACCCTCCCTCTGTTTTCATTGTTTTCCTCGCTTGTTTAACATTTGTGAGCTATTTGATGCTTTCTGTTGTGTCTTGGATATTTGTAAGATTAGCATGTGCTTAGCATGAGCAATGCATGTGTAGAGCAGCCAGCAGCCAGCCAGTGAGTGAGTGGAGGATTGAATGGACAAGTTATGAGTGTTGTGGCTTTCAAATTGAATTTGGCACGACACACAGTAAACTAATATCTACAGTAAACCAATATCCTATCTTTATCATAATACGTGTAGTTACATCACTCTACTATTTCCTCTGTTTCTCTTTAGCATGTCCTCCATCTTTTACAAAGTGGCTATAATCCAAACCAGAGGGACGGATCCCATGATCGGTTGGCTCCGATACATTCGATCGTTCGCTCCAGTTTGAAGGATCGCTCAAAGTGTCTCGAGACTTTACTGGTCCATGGGGAAGTTGATGTCAATTGCCCTGACGCTCATAACATGACTGCTCTTCACTTTGCTGCTATGGTAAGTAATACAAAAGATTACATGTACATGTACATGTAAATTAATACATAATAATATTGCATACATGTATGTACATGTACATGTACACATAGTTCAGTATACTGTTCTGTATTTTTATATATATACATGTACATGTATATTCAATTGTACAGTAGTTTATTTGAATTTTCCTGACCAGCTGGTTTCAATAAAATATTTGTCAATTCAAGTTTCACTGATATGCATGGAGAGCTGACCCTAATAATGTGTGTCTATGTACTGAAAGCAATCAGCGAGAGTATGAAAACTTTTATAATGATTATCATAACGATAACCATTACAATGTTTTTTATATTCCGTCATAAAATGACACAGTTCACCCTTCACTTTCATTTCCTCTCTCTCCCTTCTCCTTCCTAGGAAGGGGATTTACGCTGTATAAAGCTATTACTAGCATTTGGGGCTGATATTAATGCCATTAGTAACTTTGAGATGACGCCAATGAACCTGGCTTTAGCTCATTTCAAGGAATCAGCCATCCAGCTCTTTGGAGTGCTAGGAGGAATTAGTGCCGCCTTTGTCCTGAAGCGTGACCCTGTCCCCCTCCCTCCCATCACTCATTTCCTTGGCCTTGGGCTACCTCTCTCTTCCTCCGACAGCGACGACACTGATAATGACAGACAGACTCCATATAGGGACTTTATGACCGGCTACGTGAGACAATCTGAACCAGCATTACAATTAAATGTAAGCCACTACATGTACATACATAATAGTATATGTACATGTAAGTACATGTACATGTAAATGAATGGAAAGATTATTTAATTGGCTATTGAGATATGTGTACATTCAGCTGATTCCAAAGTACATACAGCACATGTACAATCCACACATACATTTACATTATTTAGACAAAGTGGGGTCAAAGGGAAATTTCATATTCAGCTGGCAGGCAGGCTCTGTTATGCTTACCTTAGCTGTGATAGCAATTAGGCTTTGGCATATTATTCCACTATTTCATTACATTATGCTATTCTCTAGTGCTTCAGATATATGCCATTATGCTTACAATATTTATTGGCTATGCTTACAATTATTCTGAATTATTATCAAAATTATTTTTTTTAAATAAAGAATTATTATTTATCACACATTATACTGTATAATCAAGGAACATTGTACATAGTCTCCAAGAGAGTGACTTTGCTGGGGGCTAAATGAACAGCTATGTTAACACTTCACAATCAGTGAGTGAAGTCACATGGTTGAAGTTAATTGACTATTCTGGAATAATGCTTAATTCCTAGTGTGGTTCATTATGCTCAATATTATGCTAGCCTAATATGCTCAAGCCTAATAGCAATACACTGTTATTGATTTGAACAGGCTCTCTATTGATCTTAACAGTAAACAACTGAATCAGCTTATTGTGTGTTTATGCACTAACTTAGTTATCACTAGACAGCACACTGATTGTATAATCAACACTCACTGATGTTAAGTATTAAATTAATATCACAAATAAGCTGTAAATATACTTGTTCTGTTGACTTTTAATAATTAATACAACCAAGAGTGGATAATCCACTCTTGATACAACATACATTATACACTAAGAATAGCAAATGATAGTGTGTGTATGTATATACATGCATATACATGTACATGTACATGCACTGTCGTGTGCATGCAGTAGTATAGCAGTATGCTTTAATTTGATTATAACATAAAACAACTTTTGTTGTGTGTGTTGGCATCGTGTTTTTATCTATAGTTACTATGAATGAGTAAACAAGTATTACGTACTTCTCTTCCCTTTCTTCCTCTTATTTTCCCTCTCCTTGTCTCTATCCTCTCTCTCCTCCCCCTCTATCTCTCTCCTCTCTCTAGGCAAGAGTCCAGTCATCATTCAGTATCAATGAAGAAGAAGCAGTCTCACTCATACTACAGCAACAAGAAGCTAACCTCCTCCACCAGGAACACTCACACATCATGTACTCCCTCTCATACAGACTCCACAACGGGAGCAGGATACTATCCATGGATGGGTTTGGATCAAGAAGTGTCATAGTATTAGAGACACTCGAGAGATTAATGGAAACAACTGGTCAAAGTGTCACTGACATGTTTGATATCATTTGTGGCTCTTCTTTTGGTGCTTTAATAGCACTGGGACTCGTGTATGGTAAGTACATGTACATGTACAATGTATATATACATGTACATGTACATGTACAATGTACATGTAATACTTCTGTGAGGTTACCTTTATTTTGTAATTTGAGTTTCATGCACAGTTGGACACTACTACTTTACTAATTGCATTTGTAATTAGAAAATTTTTTAAATAGTTTGCTCATGTAATAGCATATGGGGACATGGGATATGCTTACTAAACCAGTTAGTCAGGTTTAGTCTTACAGCAGGTGTTGTTTATCCAGTGGTTGGGTGGGTAGGAGGCTTTTGGGCCTAGTGGTAGGCTCTGGGTTAGTACTGGGTCTTCACTTGATGGGAAGTGGCCATGTGGGTATCATGATTAGTCTGCAGCTGGTGTACTATTTAACAATGAGACTCATTTTGGCTTCATTATTTCTAGATAATAGAATTAAATTTATGCACACCACATGTATGATATGATATTACATTTTACCTAGTATTTTATTGATTGCATTATTGTTTCTATATCTTTTTATTCATACTTGTTTCCTCTCTCTTTACCTCTTTTTAATCCTCTCTCTTCACTCTCAGGTAAGAGGACCATTGCCCAGTTAAGGAGGTCTTTGTATAAGCTAAAGGACATTGAGCCTCATTGCTCTTCCAATGATGAATCCTATCAGCAGATATTGAGAGAAATAGTTGGAAATGAGCATCAACTAATGTGTGATGTGAAAGAGCCAAAGTTAGTTTAATTCCTCCCTCTCTCTCTCTTCTCTCTCTCCCCCCTCCCCTCTTTCTCCCCTCTCTCTCTCTATATTATTGTGTATCACCATTTTAATCTCATTCCTTTTCATAGGGTGATGGTATTTGCTGTTAACAAAGCCACTACTGATCTGAAGTTGCATGCATTCAATAACTGCTTTGATGATGAATTTTCTCAAGGTAGAAAATTGTACATGTACTTGTACATCAATATGGCCTGTAATAATATTTAATGCATTTTTAAAATTTATTTTTAAGAGCAAGTAACTGTCAAAATATGCATCATTCCTTGTAATAAAATTGAATTACATGTATTTGTACTTTTTCTCCCCCCTCTCTCTCTCCTCTCCTATTATTGCAGAGTCAGTACTAACAGTGGCCCATTATGTCTCAATATCTCCAATATCAGTCACTAACAACACAGACTATGTATCAGCATCACTCATTGCCAACAATCCAACGGATTATGCTCTCACACGTCTACAGCAGTTCTACTACCAAAGACATGAGCAGTGTCTTGTGTCGGTTGTTGTTTCATTAGGGACTGGTATCTATGTTCACAGCAAGATGGGGTCCTTCCCTCGTATCTCCTCACTCAAGTTTCGCTCAAGAAGAGCTTATCACAGATTACAGAACTTTGTGCTTTTGTTGAGAAACTCTGTGAGTTGATGCAAGTGTTGGTGTACATGTACATGTATGTATATTCAGCATGTGTATTTTTGATCAGCAATTATGTCAGAGTTTCCCACAAAGCATGCTAAGTGAGCTAAACAGCATCATGCTTTATTAGTGTGCATACATGGCTTTACAGTACAGGTCTTTGACCAATTTTTGAGTAGCATTTAAAATTCACTGACAAGAAGCCAAAATTCTGTGGGACACCTTGATGAAGCATTAAAAAATTATTTTTGACACTACTACATGTATGTGTACATGTAAATTATTATTTATTCATATTATTATATTTTTTATTCTATAGTTAATTCAGTCTGACACAGTCAGTGCTAATTGTGCCTCTCGCTGTAAGTCTTTGGGTATACCCTACTATCGATTCAGCCCTCATCTCAAGGAGAAGGTGTCAGTTTTCGAAACTGAGACTCGTAAACTCTTAAACTCGGTATTACGTGCCAGGATCGAGCTACAGAACATGCGGTGTGGCTTTGAAGAACTTAAAGAATATTTTGTAAAAATCACAAAGACCTACACTGCTTCTGGAAGTGGCCTGGGGGGAGCTTCCTGTATGTTCACAACCAGCGACGCCCTCTCACCTTCTGATCTGATACCTCACACTAAATCAACTGAAACCAACTCATCAGGTATGGGAATGAAACTCAGTGTGTATGGGAATGAGACTCAGAGTTTGTGAATTATTAGTCTCAAAAATTTATATAAAGAGAAAATGACTTCATAAGTTACTTTTATTTTTTTAGATGATGATCTGCAACGAAAGCACTTTCTATGGCGATGCAAATGTTCCAATCAGATATGAATTCACCAGATATAATTATTGCATCCATCACTCACCTACTACTCTTCCCCAGCTCATGCAGTATCCTGTTTCATTTCAGTCACCACTCACAGTGTCACATATATAGTTCATGCATACAGTACTCTCCTATGCATTTATGGAAAAATGAACAATAAAAGTCGAAAATATAAAAACCAAAAAGGAATCAAATTCAGGCTTGCAAGTTTAGAACTCACCTCCAATAAATTAGTACACATGCACCTAATATACACACAACACACACTGTAGATACAATTCATTGTTTTGTGCACCTTTCATTCAGTATCACACTGATGCATACATTACTTAAGAGAAATGATTATGTCGCCCATATTATTATTATTATTATTATTATTGTTGTTGTTGTTGTTATTCAATTATTATCCTCATGCTCTTAATCCTCTAACAAGATTCTCATTACTGTAATTATTATTATGATTGTTATATATTATCCACCTTAAGTATCATAGCTCAGTATGTTATTGTGTGAATTTGACATCTTTGTTATCCCCTCATTTTAATCTTATTATTACCATTATTATTTTTTATCTAATCTAATATTATTATTATTATTCATTATTGTTATTATTATTATCATCCATCTATGTAGCAGCATCATCATCACATTTCCTTTTTTGTATTATACAATAAATTTGATTATAAAACTCTCAATGAACAGTTGAAAAGAGAAGGAGGGTCTCATTTCCAATGAATAATGACACTATAGTTGATGCCACCTTTTCCTTTCGGCCTGTCATTCCATATAAGGAAATGAGTGGGCGTTGGCTCTCGTGGTTAGTGTGGTAGTATGATATCAATGGTGGAACGTTCTTTTTGGAAAAGGCGAGGAGAGCAACAATGCAAGCAGATTTTAGTCTGTATGATACGAAAAAGAAAGAGAGAAAGGTCTTGGAAAGCATTGCTGGAGCTGGGGCGAGTTTGTCACTGCTGTGGAAAAAAACAAGAGCACAGAGTGTTCTTGAATCTGCAGGCCCAACCAGTATTAATGTAAGTTGAAACTTAAGAAAGATTTTTTACCTGAAAAGTTGAATGTGATGATGTAATTTTGTGCTATATTCACTGTTGAGAGATTGTGTTAATTACACTTTACTTTTTATATTTCTCATATTTTTTGTAGAAACATAAGCCAAACTCTAGCTCCTAATTTATCTGTAAGCCAATGCATGATCACAATAAGTCAATTTGTTAATAGCATTATACTAATACTGTGAATTGAAATTTTAGTTGTTTGATAGGAAGAAGCTACCAGTGTCACCTAAAGCACCTCATTTAATAGTAAGCTATGAAACTGTGTATTATGAAACTTTCTCTCTTCTTTACTTAATAGAAACTGAAGCTTCATAATCCAAAATCAGCAGAAGTGGATAGTGATAAGAATGCATTTATTAGTTGCCTTTCTGAATAGTCTTGATTAATCTAGCTTTACTGCTCTTATTACATTTTTGCTTTTATTTTTAGAAACTACTAAAGCATCTTGAAATGAAGAAATACGATCAAGTCCAGAGAAATGAAAGAATGGATACTCCTCTCCATGCCATTGTACGAAGTGACAGAAAAGATAAATCAGACTGTCTATTGATACTAATGGTGTTCAGTGACTATGGGACTGAGAATATTGATATACCTGCTGCTTTTGGTAATTCAGCATTGCACATTGCAGTCCAGGTAATAACAATAAATTTTTTTACTCTACATTTTTATTCATTGCATTTAATGTGTGTGTCCTGCCTTCCTCCTATGTAGAAAGTGGATTATCAATGGTTCAACTACTCTTAGTATTTGGTGCAAATATTAATGCAATTAATGATAAAAAGAGAACCCCACTTGACATGCTCATCAACGGAGGCAATGACAAAATATTTTCCAAAATCATCGAAGAACTGAAAAGATTTGATGCCAAGCATGGTCAGCAGGTAGTACCAGTATGAAGAGAAAAGCGGCATCACTTTACAAGACTAATGTCTATTTCAGTCGATATGCCAGAGAGACAAGAGAAACTTACTGATCATCAGCAAAATCGAAGATTTGAGAGTATAGGAATGGGGATTGAAAAACAAAGAGCACTGGTAAGTAATGGTGAAATTGTAAATGGTGAAAAATTGTTTATAGTTTACTCTGTTTAATGCCTAGTGAATGCATGTGCATGATGATAACAGTGTATTGTGTGGAGGGTAATGCGAATGAAAGTACTTATTGAATCTGAATGTCCATGTTGACCTGTAATTGCAGTTTAAGTTATGTATTTAGAGTTCTCTCTTTCTTTTTCATGTAGTCTATTGATGGTTTGTCTCCAGCAGTAATTGCCCAAAAGTTAGAGACAAATCTGAATGAGTTGTATGATGAGTATGATTGTATCCATAACTTTGACATGCAAATGACAATTGGGCTTCAACAGTTTGAGCTAAATCGTTGGAAGAGGACATCATCATCAGCTATGAAGTTTAATGTAAGAGAAATAGAGAGAGCCAACTCCATTTCTTCTCTTTCCTTCATTAGGTACATGGTGGTAGTCGTATTGTTTCTTGATGGAGGTGGAATAAGAGGATTGATACAAATTGAAATAATGAGCATCATCGAACAACGTACGGGGAGGAGCATCACTGAACTGTTTGACTGGATAGTAGGGACCAGCACTGGAGGAGTTGTATGGTAACTTGGTAACTGGGTAAACTAGTGGTAACTTGGTAACTCAGTAACTTGGTAACTCAGGTAACCAGTATTAACTGGGTAACTTGGTAACTATAAGTAACTTGGTAACTCAGTAACTTGGTAACTCAGTAACTTGGTAACTCAGTAACTTGGTAATTGTAACTGCTGGGTAACTTGGTAACTCAATAACTTGGTAATTGTAACTGGGTATAACTTGGTAACTCAGTAACTTGCATCATTTACAACAATTCAAACAGTATTTCTCAAAAACACAAGCGCTGAAGGAGCTGCAAACTTCAGTGCAAGTAGAGCTATGAGCTAGAGGATTCTCCAGCATTAATCTTAAATGAACCACTCTTGTAACAAAGAAAGCATAGTTTCCGGTATTAATTTTGATGATTTAATTTAATTTAATCATGATTTTACAAGATGCAAAAACAAAAACAAGATAAGCATAATACAGAAGAGGAGAGAGAGAGCAAAAAACAGGCACCTTGAAGGGCTGCCAGTAAGTTCTACTGACACCCAACAAACAAAATAGAACAAATAAAATAAAATACATAAAATAAAATAACAACATGAAACAACTGAATCAGAAAAGAGAAACATACATGTACATACATATACATCACAAAAATGATTAGAAAAATAGTGACAGAAATAATCAGAGACCTCCACAGTTTAAGTAGACTGACCAAAGGGTAGATACTAGATAGATAACTCCTGATGCATATTGAGGAGCCATAGGGGGAGAATGTCTTGTACCCAACATTAACCAGGGACACTCTCCTTAGTCTCCTATACACAAGTGGAACTGCCTCCTAACAGGGGACTACCTTACTCCTATGTAGCCCAGTGACCCAATTATATCGCCCTAAAACAGTGTGCTTATAGAAGATTCAGCAAAAATTGATGCATCATTATCCCTACCATACGATCCTATATCCACCATAGCAAAAGTATAATTTGAATCACATACAGCTAAGAGAACCATACTGTGAAAATTCTTGTAATTGTAGTATGCTGAACCTGCATTCTTGGGACATTCAATACTAACATGCTTCCCATCTATAGCCCCCACACAGGTTGGAAAATTCCATTCATCACTGATTAAAGCCCTTGGCTATGTTTTTCCAATCCTCAAGACTAGCAGGGGCTTTGTCAATGAGGTATTTAGAATGCAAGGCAGTCCATATTGCATCACATGTTTCATGTATTATTTTACATACAGTTGAGCGACCAATCCAAAAACTAAATGACTGTGTCTGCTGAGAATCACCGGTATAGATAACGTAAGCAGACAGCTAATCTTTCTCCAGCTGATATGACACGTCTTGAACGACAAGATTTCCTCTGAATATATGGTCCAACAATTGACAGCAAATCATCAAATCGCCTTGGTGTCATTCTTATAAATCTGAGTAAAAGATATGACACACAACACAAAAATACAGCACACATGTTTCATGTATTATTCATCATGTACCTGAAAAAATGCTCTGTATCATTAAGTCTTAATTGTGAAAGAAGAGTATTATAAAAACCAAGTCTTTCCCTCTCTCTAAAAATTTTCCTAACCCACAATCGATGCACCCTTTTCTTTCTTAACAAAATGCAGCGTCAATGTAGTGAAATCCGCCATTTTGATTGATGATGGTCAAGTAACCATGGTTATTAAGACTTGTTATTAATTATACTACACGCCCACGATTGCCGTGCAAATTAACAAGGTTACCAGCATAGATATTAGAGTAAATGAAAGGGATAGGAAACCACCGTTCCCGGCAGGAAATGCTAGTTGCTAATACCGTATTATTCTATAATTTTTTCTAATTATCAGTTCTTCAATTAATATCATTGCATTAATATTAATAATAATTATTATTAGAGTATTATATGCTATGATTATAGAGACGATTCAGACGTAGAAGTAGTAGATGTAGCAAGTAATGTTGTTCTGAAACCTCTACTTTTCTGAAGATTCTTCTTTTTGGTGTTTTTGTAGAGCTCTAAAAAAATTTTGGTGTGGCCGAAGCATCTAACTTTCAAGAACTCCTCTATGACTAGGCTATGTATTTTTGCCGAGTCTCCGATGTCTAATCCTTGTGATACAGATGACCAGGACTCCTCGATATTTCTTGATTTTAGCAGATCGGTAGTCGTCTCTAACAAAGGTACACACTTAGAAGATGGTAATATGAGTTGGCGTATTTCTTTTTCCACTGTTTGTAGATGCTCATAAAAATCATTGGAACACTTTACGAGTCCACCCCTATTTATTGACTCTAGCCACTTCTTTGGATGCTGAATGTCTTCTTCCAAGGTGGTATCATCCTCTATGACATCATCAACTTCCTCTAAGAACATCTCCATCTTTTCTGCGAGTAACATTCCTA